CCCCCCCTCCCGTCCCCGTCCCGGGCGGCCCGCACTCACCGAGGAAGTCAGTGCGGACCTGGCGCCCGCCGCGCTGCTCAGCGCTCAGTCCGGCCTCCAGGGTCAGCACGGCGGCTAGCGCGGCCTCGGCCGCCGCCTTGACGCGCTGCCGCACGACTGCCACCTGCGAAGCCTCACCCAGGCCGCACTGGGCCAGCGCCGCCTCCAGCGTCCGTGGCAAGGAGCTCTGGTGCCGCAGAGGCCGGTCCCCACGGCCCACGCTGCACACCACCTGGGCAAGGTGCGGCTCAGGGGGCTGGTCCAGGAGGAGTCCGCCCAGGACTATCCCCGGCCCCAGCACACCTTCCCCTATGCCACGATCCAGGCCACACCCCTCACTGGACATTCAAGTCCTGTCCTCCAATGTGACTTACACTGCCCGTCTGGTCCCCCGGGGGGACTCTACCCAGGCTTCCAGGCCCAGCTGGGGCCTCTGCTCCCTAAGGGCTCTAAGCATGCTAGTTCCTAGTGCCTACAGCCCTGGGGGCCTGTCCCACCCTGGTGGGCTTAGCCCTAGAGCTCCCTGAGGGCAAGCTCTAGGGCTCCCTCTCAGCCTGGCCCAGAGCTGTGTACCCAGGAGGGTCCCTAAGCCTCCCTCCTAAAGGGCTCCAGGCCCTGGAGGTTTGTCAGGGACCCTGGGTCAGCCTCTTCTGTGGGGAAGAGCCCTGGGCCCTGGTACCCAGCATGGGATACCAGGTAGGGCTCCGGATGTGGGAGGAGCACAGGAAGGGTTGGAGAGGAGGGAAGGTGTCAGACGAAGTCCTCTCAGAGATAACCAGAATCCTCCGCCGCCCCCCCCCCCCCAAGATTTTGTCCTCTCTCTGCCCAGGGGCCCTCATCAGCTCAGTGGAACTGGGCTGGGGTGTGGCAGCAGGGGCATGACCTGGACCTGAGCCATGCTCACCTTGCTCAGCAGGGGCCTGTCACCCTGTGTCCGACAGACCACAGCACAGATACGCAGAGCCAGCTCAGGGCCAGGCGGGGGGCTGCCTGGGGGAAGGCGGTGAGGCCTGAGCACAGAGCAGCCAGGAGGCCGAGCCATGCCCCGCCCCGGCTGGCACAGGCGGCCCTCACCTGGGAAGGGCAGCCGGGCAGGTGGGCCTACAGCCTCCACCAGCACACTCTCTTCCTCCTCTAGCTTCTCCAGCAGTGCCAGCACTGTGTCCACCACTGGGCCCAGCTCAGCTCGGGGATACAGACGCATTGCCGGCCGCCCCCTCCAGCGCCAGCCACTGAGCTTCATGGCTACCTGCAACAGGCAGGGGAAGGGGGCCTCCTCACCACCCCACGTACCTGCAGGGTGGGACGCTCATACCACAGGAGCTAATGAGTAAACTGAGGTAAGAAGGCAGGGGATTACCACAGAGATGGGGGGGGACCGCTTCCCAGCAGGACCCGGTAACCCTCCACGGGTCCCCTCCTGCTGGCCTCTGCACAACCCCGGGGGCAGAGCCTGTTACCTGCAGGGCATCACCCAGGGCCTCGGAGTGCAGGAAAGCCCCTACTTCCGCCTTCACCAGTGTCGCTTGGCCCTCTTTGCCACTCAGCTCCACCAGCCGTAGTCCCGGGCTGGCATCCCCTCCCCTCAGCAGTGCCGGCGGCTTGTAGGTGAAAGCCAGGGTAGCTGGTACAGCCACGTCACCCTGCCGAGCTAGCAATCGCCTCGTCAGCAGCCGGTCCTCCAGCAGCCGGGCCAGCTCGGCTGAGGCTCCTGTGGGGCAGGTCAGGTCGCGAGCGAGCTCAGCTGCCTCTCGACCCCGGCCAGGCCCCAGCCCCAGGCCCGCCAGGAAGTAGGTGGCGCGGCGAGGGGGGACAAAATCGTCCAGGAATGTCAGGCCCCCCGGGTGGAAGCTCACGGCCTTGGAGACCAGCAGGGCTGCCTCGCCTGGCTTCCCTGGTGCTGGCACCTTTGTCAGCCAAGCAGGGGACAGGCAAAGGAGCATGTTTCCTGTGGGCAGAGGGAAGAGGGTTGCTGGCCAGGGAAGGCTTAATGCCCCCATGCCCTCCACCTCCAGCCTGGGCCCCTGGGTAGTCGGGGGCAGCTGCTCCCAGAACCCACCCCCACTCGGAGTAGGGCAGCTGGCCCGGTGGAATGCAGGCAGTTGCCAGGGTTGGCGGGTATTTTGGGATGTGGCCGGGCCAGGGCAGGGCTGCCCTTTCTGTAGGAGGGGGTGGGGGAACTTGGGCACACACTCACCCGGGCTCTGGACCCCACCCTCCAGCAGCAGAGACAGAAAGGTGCTGGGGGATCCCAGAATGCACAAGGTCACCTCCGCCCCAGGACAGCCTTGAGGAAGAGAACATTGCCAAGCTCACCAGGGGCTCCCCTTGCTCTCTTTCCGCCCACCTTTCCCCACCCCCATAGCCCTGCCCTCACCCTTGGACCCCCAGGTCCTCCCCGGGTATCGGACGAGAAAAGTAAAGGGGACAGAGGGAGCTGGAGAGCGAAGGGGAAGCTGCCTGCCCACCTTGCCCTCTGAGGCTAGCTCCCTTCCCTCTGCAGCTGGCCTAGAAGGCACTGGAGGCCGGGTGACTGGAGACGTGGGTTCTGGCCTGAGCTCTGCCACTGACTTTCTGTGTGACCCTTGGTCCCTGTGCGGTGGGGGGAGGAGTCTCTGCACCTCAGTTTCCCAGTCTGTACAATGGGACCCAGTCTGTGATGTTCACGCACTCTAGCTGTAAGCCCTCTGTCCACACAAAGTCTTTTGTGGCTGCCTGATACAGAAAACAGATAAAGCAGCGGAGGAATCCCGGGTCCCAGCTGCTAGCTGCCTCCACCCCAGCTCCCAAGACACTTCTGTAGAAGCCCTGGCCCCACAGAACATGGACTGCAAATCCCAGGGATGGATTTTCTGGGAGTGGGAGGGAAGCCGTGATCTCTGACTTCACTGGTGCCAGATGCCCTTTGAAATGCCTGCCCTCCAGAGGTTGACTGGCCTTGTCTCCCTGGCTTCAGACCAAGCCAGAGACTAGGGGAAGGGGCTGACCTTGACAGAGATGGGAAGCAGGCCGGGCTGAGGGTGCCTCCCTCCTCCTAGGGGTGCCCCCTCCCCCCCCCCAGGGGTGCCCCCCTCCATGGAGCCTTCGGGCACCTGTGCGGGGCACCTGGCTGCGGTCTTGGGTCTCCGGAAGGCCAGCTTGCTGCAGACAGCTCTGCAGGAGACTGTAGTAGTGGACAGTCCAGGCCCGGGCCTCCGCCCCCTCGGGGGAGCCCTTGCAGTCCAGGGCCACGTCATGGCGCCAGGAACCATGGAAGCAGCCTGGGGGTGGCAGGCCAGAGCCCCCACCCCATGGGCCCTCCTCTTCCTCCAGGTCCTTGGAGCCCAGCGGGGAGTCACACTCGGGACCCAGCGGATCCAGGGACAGCTGAGGGAGGCAGAAATGGCGGGTCTTGGGCAGGGTGGGCAAGGGGTATATTAAGTCACCCAAGGGTATAAGTCCCCCACTCGCCTAACCTTGGGCAGACACTGTCCTAGGAGCAAAAGAGGATGGGTTGGGTTGGGTTGGGGGATGAAGGCCTGTCACCAGGGACATGTAAGTGGGAGTGCTTTGTAAACTGTATGTGCAGTGCCCCAGCGGGTGGGAGCAGAAAGCAATGCACTGCTGGCTGGATCACTGCCCCCTCATCCCACGCCCAGGTCTGCCCCAGCTTGGTTCAGAGGGGCAGAGGTTTTTTGCCGGTTTTGTTTATCGAGGCAGCCCTGGGACCTAAAACAGCCCTGGCACGTGCTGTAGCTGCTCAATGTTTGATGACTGAAGAATAAGTGAGCAAATGAACCAAGCAATCACTCCTGGGCTGCTCTCTTTTCTCTGGCCTCAGTGACCCATGTACCACCGTGGAGTTCTGCTGAGACCTAAATATGTGGGTGAAGCTGGTCCACGGTCATCTCCATGCAGGCTGGAGAATCTACCATACGCCCAGTCCTGGGCCAGGCATTAGTAAGGAAGAAGCTGGTGCCCTTCTTTTCAGATGTTCTGAGTCATGGAAATGCTCACTTTAGATGAAATCTTACACCCTGCCCCTCTCTGAGGCTGGCTGACTCCCAAATGAGGCTGCTCAGAAGCTCACTGTGAACACACGTGCAGACACAGGTGGGCCTGTCCTCCGGGGGACAGGCTGGGCCTCCTTGGACAAGTCGTGAGGTTTCTTTGGGACTTGTGGGTGCCTGGTGCCTGCCCTGTCCCCCCTCCCCGGGGTGCTGATGAGGCTTGGACCTAGAGAATCACCGTGGTCATTGCGAGACAGCATACTGCAGGCAGCCGGGAGGGCAGAGGTCTGGGCCTCAGACCTGGCCTGGAATCCCGGTTCGCCGGTGCCAAATTCTGAGGCTTGGTGCCCTTTCTTAGGAGCTGAGGCCCCTAAGAGCCCAGAATGGGTTCACTGCTATGTTCCCAAACTTAGAATGGGGCAGGGTGCATGGTAATAATAAGTTGCAGGTTGAATGAATGCCAAAGGGGACCAAGAGTGCCCGCCTCCCAGAGCTGATGGGGGAGAGAGGCAGTGCCTGGCACACAGCAGCTGCTTGTCCCATGGCACACAGAGTGGGCGGTCAAGGGGTGTGTGCGCAGCTGGTCACGGGTCTGTCCGCACAGGCAGCCCCAGGGCTAGGCTTTTACGTGCCCGATGCCGTCCTCCGGGCCCTCCCTCTGATTAGGGTCTTGGGTTTTTGTGGGGAGGGACCAGAGGAGACTCACCATCTCACAGGTGGAGAGGCTGAGAGACTGATGGAAGAGACTGACAGAGAGAGACAGAGGAGGGAGTCAGGGCGGCGGATCTCTACCGCAGAGCCCAGCCCCTAAGACTCTGGGTCAGAGAGGCGGCCGCGACCGCGCGCCGCTCTCCTGTCCCAGCCAGGAGGTGTCCAAGGCTGCCCCACCCCCACCCCAAGGAAGCAGAGGGATTTCTGACGCCCGGACCCCATGGGGCCCGCACCCCGAGCTCACACATCCCAAGCTGCGCGGGGCAGGGCCGGGGGTCCTGGCGCTCAGCCCTTCCAGCCGGGGGCGCGCCGCGTCCCCGCGCGTGTGTGCGCGCGTCTGGGAGGGGTGTGCAGGCGGTGTCGCGGGTCCCGCTGGGGGGCGCGGGCGCTCAAGGTCCCGTCCCCGCGGCCCCTGCCCCGCAGCCCCCTCCCTGGCTCTCCCCGGGGCGCGGGCAGCAGCCGGGGTACCTGGCGGGCGGCAGCGGCTCGGCGGGGCTCTGCCGGGCTCGGCGGGCGGCGTGCCTTAGAAGGTGGCCAGTCAGAATCAGTTCTGGAAAAGGACTGATGGAAGTTATTCAGCCTGCTGAATGGACATGGCTTGGTGGGCGGCGCGGACCCGGCGGGACTCGGCGGCGGCGGCACAGCGCCCGGCCGAGGTGGCGCCTCTTTATATAGAAGCGTCCGGGGCATGCCCAGTGCCAGGCGCGGGGCGGCGCGGGGCGAAGTGGCCCGGCCCCACCGTCCTCCAGCCGGGGGACCCGGCAAAACCTCCGCCACCCATCCTGAACCTGGGGTCCTGGGGTCCTGGGGTCCTGGGGGTGGGCGGGCCCGACCCTGCCAGAGGCAAGGCGCCGGGGCGCGGGGGGGGGGCCAGGGAGAGACAAACGGAGGGACAGGCAGAGGGACAGACAGGAGACCTTCGGAGACACAGTAAGTCGAACAGTGGGCCAGGTTCTAACGGATAGCGATCGTCAGAGGGGCTCACAGACTAAGGGGCCGCGGTAAAGAAAAGACAGAGGACAGAGGGGGATAAATAGAGAGAGACCCATAATGGAAGAGAGATGGAAAGAGGATAGAGGGGGAGGGGAAAGCTGGAGCCGGCAGAGACTGGTACCAGGGCTTGCCCTCAGGGCTGGGGTGGCCAGGAGAGCGGCTGGAGCACACAGTCCGGAGCCCTGACCTTGGATGGAGTCCTGAGCTCCCCAGCACCCGGGGCCGCAGCTGTCTGCCAAGGAGCACTGTGCCGTACGGCAGCAAGCACTCCCAGAAAGACCTTCTTGAACAGGGGTCCCTGTACATCTGCGAGGTCCCCTGCTCATCTCTCCCAGCCCCTCCAGAGTAGTGGCCACTAGGTAAGAAGCCCCCCACAAGGGCAGTCCCAGTTCCCTGGGATACCCTCTGCCCTGCTGGGGGCCAAGAGGGAAGAGGGTGGCCAGGCTGGGAGTTCCAGTGGGTCTGAGCACAGCAAAGGAAGGGGCTTGTCTACACGATCTGCCCTGCCCATCAACACCCAGGTCAGCTGGACATCCACAGTTATACCCACAATCTCCCCAAAACGCACATCCTTACCCCCAGGTGCACCCATCCAAACACCCACAAAAGCACACCTCAAGAGACCTGGATCACAGCCACATATTCACCCCAAGAAACACACCCAGAGATTCATACCCTCGCAAGTGTTGTCCCACTAGGTGGATTCTGATCCTAGATCCAGCTGTGGCGCCTGGGCACCTCCGCTTCCTGGCCTGACTGAACCTCCCTCTCCTCCTGACTTAAATGGGTCTAGTTACCATCTCATAGGACTGCGGTGAAGCTTATCACAGCATCCTGAGCCCAGCACGCATAGGCTATTGTTGCAATTCTCCCACCTCACCCCCGCAAACTCAGGCCCTCTCTCCAGGGACACCCCCCCCCCCCCTGTTGCCTAGAGCCTCCTGGGCTGGGGGAGGGTACTGATGGCCCCGCAGCACTTGTGGAGGCAAAGGTGGCTGCTCTGGCCCCTTTCTACAACCGTACACAGAGCAGCCTGTGAGGAACCACCCTGTCTACCAATGGAGGGACTCAGAGAGGAGAAGTGACTTACCTGGGGCCCCCCAGCCCAGCCCACATTCCCCACACAGCTTTACAGGGCTGCTCTGGGCTCCCCAGCACCAGATCCACACTCCACTCCTCCCTGTGGCCAGCTCAGGCTCCTGGAATGAGGTGCGGCCACCCAAGAAGATCCATCCTCTTGCTGAGGGGGTAGCCTGAGCTCCAGGGAGATCCACGGGAGGGAGCAGGGTTGGGGCATGGATGTCACCAAAGAGCATGAGGTCTGACACTTAACAAATATTAAAAACCAAAATCCAACAGAGTAAATTTTAAAGATCTTATCGGCTTTATCCAGCAGTTCATGAATCGGGCAGCATCCCATCTAGCAGACAGAAAGGAACTGCAGGAAGTTGTGTAAAATGCAAGACTTTTATAGGCAGAAGGGAGCAGACACAAAGAAGTTATACTTAGGCAAAAAAGTGGGTTGGTTATTGCAAGATCACTTTCTTTTAGGCAACAGCAGGGGTCTATCAGGCAGATGAACTTGCTAGTGCTGGTCAGGCCATTCCTGATTGACTGGTTTAAGATACAATTTCCAGGAGAGCTGAAACTGTAATCAAGTTATCTCGGTTTGGTGACATGGGGCTTAGCATAAGTGACTCCACCTTGGGCCTGCTGTCTAGTTTTTTGCTTTTTTTTTTTTTAACTCTTTTTAAAATTATTTATTTATTTATTTATGTTGGCTGCACTGCCTTAGTTGTGGCATGTGGCATGTTCAGTTGCGGCATGTGGGATCTTTAGTTGCGGCACGTGGACTCTTAGTTGTGGCATGCATTCGGAATCTATTTCCCCAACCAGGGATTGAACCCGGGTCCCTGCATTGGGAGCGCAGAGTCTTACCCACTGGACCTCCAGGGAAGTCCTTGCTGTCTTGTTTTTAACCCAAGCAGTGTAGCATCTGTGGACTCAGTTTTCTCATTCGCAAATGGGGATTATAGTGCATACCTTAGCCCAGGCTTGGCTAGACAGGGGGCACCTGGCAGAAGGTAGCAGTGCCAGCAAACGGTTTTCTTTTGTTTTGTTTTGTTTTGTTTGCAGTACGCGGGCCTCTCACTGCTGTGGCCTCTCCCGCTGTGGAGCACAGGCTCCGGACATGCGGGCACAGCGGCCATGGCTCACGGGCCTAGCCGCTCTGTGGCATGTGGGATCTTCCCGGACCGGGGCATGAACCCGTGTCCCCTGCATCGGCAGGCGGACTCTCAACCACTGCGCCACCAGGGAAGCCCCAGCGAACGTTTTTTTACTTGCCCCAGGCACTGTACAGAGGGCTTTAAGTGCCATATCTCACTTAACCCTGTTGGGTAGCAGTTATGAGTCTCTGCCTTTTGCAGATGAGGCAATTGAGGCTCAGAGAGGTGATGTGATTTGCCCAAGGTCACACGGCTGGTGAGAGGCAGGGCAGGGGTCTTCCCTCTGCCAGAGTGTGTGTATACATGCACACAGAGCAGTGTGGTTCTGTGCCCACTCCCAGACTGCCCTGGCTAGGCACCGGCTCTGATGGCGTTTGCCTTGTGGATGCAGGGAGGAAAATCGGGGTTGGGCAACTGCAGCTCAGCCCAGGGCCCTGAGAGTTGGGGCAAGCAGGCTGGCAGGGCAGTCTTGCTCTGTTTGTGCCAGGAGAGCCTGGAGGTCACCTGAGGCTGAGCTGGGCCAGGTAGGCGTGGGGTGACGAGAGGCAATCCCCGGGTGACTGCCCAGCTTGACTAAACAATAACCATCATAGAAATGAGACAGGTAGAGTGCTCTTGGGACTAGGGTGGGAGCTGTTATTATTCTATTATCTGTAGGAGGAGACTGAGGTTCAGATAGAGTGAGAAGGCCATTCCCACGCAGGGACTTTGCAGGGAGTCCAAGCCTGGCCTCTGGACAGTGTGGGATGGGGGGACTTATGGGGTGGGTGGCAGTCGAGATGGAGACCATGGCCCCCCACATGGGGGTCCATTTGCCCTTCCACTTCTTTGCTTGACCCCCACTCCTGTCCCCTGGGCTGACCCAGGCCGATGGACATCGCTGGGTGCCATCCCAGCTTTGGTCCCCACAGGCTGAGTACTCTCAGATGCATGCCTTGCCTTCTCTGAGCCCCTTTCCAGGCAGGTTTGTAGGGAGCTGGGGCTGCTAGGTTCACTGAGTGTGGCTGTGCAGGTTGCTCACTGCACAAAGGTATCCTGCTGAGTGGTCACTTCCCTTCTGTCTTGCAAGGGATGCATGTACCTGGGGGAGGGGCATCTTTTCCCAACTAGTGCACGGGAGCCATAGGGGGCTAGTGCAGCCCTGTGGGAACAGCGTGTGTAAAAAAGCGTTCCGACAAGGAGGGAGCTGGTCCTCTTTCCGTCTGACCCCTTGGCTCAGGCTTCCCAGATGGATGGTTGATAACGGGACCTGCAGAAGGACTGCCCAGAAAATGCTTCCCTCAGTAGACAAGGCAGTGACCCAGCCTCAGCTAGAGAGGCCCCTGCTGGAGACCACCTGCCCCAGGGTCTATATCCAGGGGGAACGACTACCACGTGGCCTGTCCTCCAGACTCAGCAGCCCTGGTGCCAAGGCTGCTGCCTTCCTGCTCCTCTGCCTTCCCAGCAGAAGAGCCGAGCGCGCACACGGAGGGCAGGGAGTGCAGGACAAATCCCATAAACTCCCCGCAGGTTCCCCCACCTACCTGCTCCCAACAGAGAGTCCATGAGACGCCCGCCCTAAGTCTAAAGCGTGGTCTAGCTGGCTCTGCCCCCCACTGTGATCCTCGGCTGGGCGCTCAACCTGGCCATCTCCCCCTTCTCTAAAGAGGCTCTCAGTGCCACCTGCAGAGAGAGGGTGTGGGGGTCTGAGAAAGGGTCCGTGAACTGCAGGGGACTGTGCTATTATTAAGCTCCAAGTACGCTAGTGGGGTGGGGAGGGGGGAGGGAGGGCTCAGGAAGCTCTCTTTAACTCACAGGAGCCCAGCCCCTGGCCCACACCCAGAACCCAGGCTGGCGCGAGACTGGGGCAGTGGGAGAGACAGCAGCCCCAGGATGGCAGAGGGAGGTGGGTGTCAGCTTCGCGGCTGTTGATGCAGGGGTAGCGGTGAACCTTGGGTCTGCACTGGGCGGCAAAGCTTTGGCCCAGTTGCCTCCCCTCCTGAGCCTTAGTTTCCCCCCAGGTAAACTTCAGCTCTGGGTCTGGACCTCTGTGAGTCCCTCCCTCAGGGAGTGGGATGGTCTGCCCAGGACCCAGGGCCTGGCCAGTCGCACGGTCAGCGCCACAAGAGTATATGTGGAGGGAGCGTGTTCCTGCAGCCGTGGCCCTGTCACTAGATCTGAGGGTGCCAACACTCCAGCTCAGCCACTGAGAAGGATGGATCAAACACTCCACCATTGCGACTTCCCTGGTGGTCCAATGGTTAAGACTCCGCGCCTCCACTGCAGGAGGCTCGGGTTGGATCCCTGGTCAGGGAACTAAGAACCCACTCCACCATTTAAGTGGGACCGCAGACACTTTCTCCGGGTACTCCCCCTCCCCCTCCCCCCTTCAGGGGAGGGCACCCAAGGAAGCAGGGAGGCAGGGCACCGGGAATGGGCCCTGCAGGAGCATAAGCCTACGTCAGAACCAGCCCCGTTGTCCTGGCGATGGCTCCTGTCCCAGGCACCTCAGGCACCCACGGGGGCAAGTAGCAAGTGTGGGAGGGGTTTCCACGGTGGCAGTCCCCAGGGGGTGCGGCTGGGGCTTAGGCAGGGGGCAAGGGCTGGCGGGCCCTTTCTCCTTTGTCCGGGCACACTAGGCCTTTGTTCTCAGCTGGCTCTCTCTGAGGATGGGACCAGGACCATGGGTGGGGGGCGTACTTGCCTTAGAGTGCCCACAGCCCTGGGGGGGATCCTGAACCAGCAGGGAGAGGGAGCAGAAGAGGGGACAGAGTCCCACTTCTGGGCCCAGCATCCACCTGGGGAGCCCTCCTCCCCCAGGTACAGAAGCCTTCCCTGACCCCAAGAGGCTGGGCACTGCAGCTTACCATTGGCTCCCGGTGCTGGTGAAGACCTTCCAGCAGCCAATGGGAAGCCTCAGTGAGCCCTGGGGAGCCAGGGCTGGGCTCGGAGGGGCGGGGCTGTGAGGGGAGTGAGGGCTGGAGGGGAAGCAGCCGCTGGTCTGCGGTTGAGGCTGGAAGGCGTTCCATCTGACTGCATACGGGCTTCTGCTCAGACTTTATTCCAGGCCTCCCCAGGAGCCTTGGGGTCCCCTAAGCCCAGCCTGTGGCCCTAACCTCACCCTCCTTCAGCGCCAGCTTGGTGCTTGCAAGGGCCCAGGCACCAGGACAGCTCCGTGGGCCGATGATGGGCCTGGGTCCTCAAAACCTCACTCTCACCTTCCTTCATCCTCGAGCCTGACACAGTCCACGGGAAAGAAGCTGAAGCATCCATCCCAGCTGTAAAGTGCGGTGCCTACTTTGAGGCTGGCATCCACCATTCAGGCAATTGGGGTTGGGGGACCCTGAGTCTCTGGTACCCTCAGAAGTGGGACCTTCAGAATCGGGTGTCCAGGGAGGAGGTGGAGCCTCGATGGGACCTGGCAGGGCTCTCGATAGGGGGGGCCCTGGACCGAGTCAGCAGCCCATGGAAAGTCTTGCCTCGGGTCTGGGGCTTGCGCCGTGGCGGCCTGGGCTCTTCCGGGGGCTGAACCACGATGCGGGGCACCTCGGGCCTGGTGGCTCCCCGGGTTCCTGCCAGCTGCTGGGCCTCAAAGATGGCTTGGGCCCCAGGCAGGCGGGCCTGCGGCCTCGGGGGTGGCCCAGATGCCGACGCGGGCAGCTGGGCCAGCTGGGTCTTGATCTCCCGCTTCAAGTCCTGTTCGGACAGGGCCACGCTGTGCACCTGTGGGGAGCAGTTGATACTGAGTCTGCCTGGCCTGGGGGAGGGCAGGAAGCGATGAGATCCCTGTGGGGCGGGCAGGACACAGCCGCAGGAAGTGGCTGAGGGCTGAGGGGCTGACAGACAAAGAGACTAAAGGAGCCACAGAAAGCCACTTGAGGCCTGGGGTTTCCACATTCTCTGCTGCTGAGAGGACAAGAACTGAGCCCCGGTTCTTACTCTGACTTCCCCCTGTGGGACTCAGTTTCCGCAACTGTGCAGGGGGGCTGGGCCATCGCAGAGGGCGGGCAAGGGGCACGCACCTGGGGCATGAAGACCTCCTCCTGCAGCTGGGTGGGCGGGATGGCTCGAAGGGCGCCGAGCGTCTCCAGGAGCCCCGGGCAGGCCTGGCGCTGTTCAGTGGTGCCCAGTGCCAGGCGTACCAGTGTCAGCCCCACGCGGAACAGCACCTTCACACCTGCAGGCCGGGGGCTCACTCAGTTGGGGGGCCAGCCCTGGGCTTCCTCAGTCTGCACCTGAACCTGCCCTCAACCAGACTCCTTCCACCCTCCTGCAGCTCTGCTGCCGTGACCCAATGACTGAGAGCACGGTGGCAATCTGAGAGCTCTGGCCAGCATGTCTCAGCGGCCACAGACACTTCTGGGCAGAGCAGCCTGCCAGGAGCCAGGGGCTACTGAACGCCTCACGCCAAGCCTTCTCATTCTGGGCCTCAGCTCCTCGTCCCTCCAAGGAAGGGTTGGGTGGTGACGTGAAGGCCTTTCCAGCTCAGACCTGTGACCTTCCGATTCTAGAAAGATTCTAGCCAGAAATCCTCACCTCTAAGCCAAGAGCACAGGACACGCGTGAACACAAACACCCACACACGCACACACACACACATGGGTGTGAACTTGAGCCTGTTCCCGGAGCCTCAGAATTCCTTCCTGGTAGCCTCGGGTCTGCTGAGAACAGCAGTCAGGGGACCAGCGAGGTCTGGGGACAACTGTGACTTGTAAAGGGACAGCAGCGACTACTAACGGTGTCACCGTTATGAAAGGGAGCCTGAGGCAGAGGGCAAGGGTAGCTCAGCCACCCTGACGGGGGGCCCTGCCCTGCCCCGCCCTTGAGGTCTGAGTCTGCAGGGGAGGCCACGTAGATGGCAACCTGGACACCCGTGGCCAGAGCTCTAAGCCAGCCTGAAGCCAACTGGGCATACAGTAGGTGCTCAATAGATGTACCGATTGATTTCTACCAGCTTTTGGTTCAACCACCCCGCTCTGGGCCTGGCATCTCTCCCATGTCCGCGCCCCCAAGTCAGTTGTGTGCGGCCTGGCCTCCCCACCTCCACACTGGCCCTGCGAGCTTGCCTCTTCCACGGAGCAGCCGCGAGCGCCTCTAAACGGCCCTCTCCTCCTGCCGCCCCCACACTCTGGCGCATCCTTTGTTTTATTTTCTTCACAGAACTTACGACAATCCATAAATATCTTGTTAATTTAGTACCGTCGCCTCCCATCCCCGCTTCCACCAGAATGTAGGTCTCACTCACTCAAGTGGCCCTGGCTTCCAGAGCAGCGCTGGCCTCCGAGAGCGCTCACCAAGGGCCCGTGGGGCTCCATCAGCCATGCCCCCACTGTGCCCAGTCCCTGAGCTGTCTCACTGCTGTGATCTCTACAGCTCCTGCCCTACCTACCTTGGGGAAGCGCCCCCCGACTCCAGCCCTCCCCCAAGCAGATGGTGCCCTCCCTGTGGTGGTCTCACTGCTGGGGGTGGGGGCTATCATTCATTACATTGGTGATCCATGGCCAAGGGCTGGACCGTTTCCCCAGAGCCACAGGGCGCTGTCACCCTCAGCACACCCCAGCACCCAGACCCCAGGCCAGGACTGGCAGTGGCGGTGGGGCAGAGCAGAGCTGGCACCCTCATCCCCTCTGCACACCAGGCACCCGAGGCTCCCGGGCCCAGTTCCCACGCCTGCCCCCACCCACCTGGCCAGCCACCCACTCACCCTCGCTAAGGAAAGCGTCCCAGACACGCAGCACCGTGGGGAAGGGCAAGGAGCGGGCGAAGAGGCACAGGAACCACTCGGGCAGGTAGAGCAGGGGCCCGACGCCCACCTGCTGCAGGTGCTTGTGCACACGCGGGAGCAGCCGCCGCAGCAGGGCCGTGAACACCTCGGCGTCCAGCTGTACAGCCTCCTGTGGCCACGTCCGGCAGCATCTCCACTCCCGGTCCCCAGGTCCCCACCCAGTCCTGTTTTCTCTTTTGTTTTACATCATTCTGGCTAGAGAACTGTTTATTGGAGTTGTTCCTCCCCCTCCCCCTCCCCCCCCCCCCCCCCACCCCCCGCCCAGCCCCTCCCTCTGTGCCCTCTGGCCCCATCCCAGCCTCTCACCATATGGGGCCCGTAGTAGCCAGGGAGGTAAACCTCGCAGATCTGTACCAGGCACCAGAAGGCCTCCTGGGGGCGGACACAGGCCTTGAGTGCCCACCGCAGAGGGGACCACGGAGGGGACCACAGGGCGGGGGAAAGGGGCGCAGGGGTGACTCTGGAGCCAGGAGCCTGGACTCAGTGCTGGGGCTGGTAAGGAGGGGCAGGTCTTACCAAAAAGCTTCCCATTGCCCAGACAGAGGCCTACCAAGGGGCGTAGGGAGTTGGAAGTCACAGGGCTCAGGGGGTTGAATTTGAGGGTCACAGGGTAGGGGCTCACTGGTCAAGGCTAGGAAGGGTCCCAAAGTTCAAGTCTTGGGTTCTTGGGGTCACTGGGGTCAGGGATCATGGTCACAGGGTTCAGAATCAGAAGTCATCAGGTCAAGGTAATCACATCCAGACTCCTAGATCATTGGGGCAACTGTCAGGGCTCAGGGTTCCGTGTTCCTGCAGTCAAGGTCGTTGGGTTTGAAGGTTGCTGAGGGTGGTGGTCATGAGGCCCTGGGTCACTCACTAGGACAGGTTTGGGTAGGAGTCAAGGATCCCAGGTCCCTGAGGCCAGAGTTCCTGGGGATGGAGGGGTCATGGGTCCAGGGCACAGGATTACTAGGTCCCTAGGTCACCAGCGTTGGGGGTCATGGATCACTGGGGTTAGGGGGTCAGGGTCTTGGGTCCCCGTAGCAGGGTTGAGGGCACTCACCTCTGGGGGCAGATACATGAGCAGCACGGCAGCCACAGGGCCCTGGGCCTGGCAGTAGCCCTGCTCCGGCCGATATAGGGTGTAGGCCTTGAGTACCTGGAGGAGCCCCTGCTGCCTGTGCCAGAAGACCCCGTTAGGGGCCAGTCCTCCAGGCATCCCTTCCCCACCCTCTGGCAGCCCTTGCCCAGGCCTCAGCCCCCTGAGGGCCTTGCTGGGTCCTCTGAGATGCAAAGATATAAAGCTGGGGCCGGGGGAGGGGGTACTAAGCCAAAGCACCTGGGGGGTGTGGGGCTGGGGGTCCCTGGGCATCACTGGCCTCGTACCCGTGACCCTGGGGTGACACAAACATCTCATGCAGAGGGAACTGGCGGTGCAGGTCCCTGCCGATGGTCTCCATCCACTGTGGGTCCCCAGGGGCCTCAGCCAGTTCCTGTGGGTGGACAAAAAGGTGAATGTGAAGGCCCAGAGTGGTGAAGGGTCAGGGAAGGGAGGTGGGACCCCTGCCAGTTCCCTCACCCGATAAGTGTCACTGCTGTTCTGCTGACACACGTGGGCCCCACACAACAGGGGCCAGCACCGGGCCCGCAGGGCCGAAGGGATGCCTTTCCGGCACTGCATCTTTACCTGTGAGTGAGACCAAGGGACCCCGTTAGGCCAGCCATGCCAGCTTTCCCCGCTCCTGTCGGCAGGCCCCAAGCAAAACCTGTCATCAGGCAAGAGCCACTTTGGGTAGCAGGGAGAAGAGGCAGGAGGTCCTGGGACACGGGAGGGGTGAATTTTGCCAGGGCATGGGCCGAGGCAAAGGGGGCTGAGCCATGGAGGCCCGGGTGGGACCACTCTCCCCCTCACCTTCTTGTACCGCCGAGACATGGTTTTCTCCCAGTGTGAGGTCATCTCCACCCACTTCATCTCCCGCTGGCGGATAAGGTCTGCAGGAGGGTGACCTGACCTGGGGACACATGGCACAGGTGTCCAGGCGCTGGGCAGCTGTTACCCAGAGCCCACATTTGCCACCCTTCATGCTACCTGGGTGAGCCTAACTCCTGGCCCTGGAGATCTCTGGGAATCTCTGGGGCGGGGTGGGGACCTGTCACCCAGGAGTTGCCAGGGGTTGTCATGGGGACAGGAAAGGATGTGGCTCCGATGTGGGTGGAAGCAGGAGAGACTGAAGGGGGTGTGTAGGTGTGTGTTGAGGGAGGGCTTGTTGATTGTCCCCCAGGATAGGGACACAGACAAGTCATCAGGGAAGTTGGGTAGACAGAGTCCTGGACTAGAAGCCAGGAGTTGTGAGTTTGAGTCTGATTCTGTCTATGATCTGCTGTGTGACCTTCCTGTTTCTGGACTTGTCTTCCTGTCTGTACATTGGGAATGCGGAGGATTGGTGGGGGAAGAGGTGTAGGTTCTGTGATCTGGATCTGGGATTCCCTGGCCAGATTAAAAGGGGAAGAATGTTTGGCCCCAGAGGTGGGTGGAAACCCTCCGAGACTGGGAGTAAAAGAGACATACAGGAACCACCCCCCGCAGCCCTGCTAACCTTAGGATTCCATCTGGAACCCGAGAAGGGATGATAGTGGCTGAGTCCCCAGACCCGCCCAGGACCCTCGAGTCTGGACCTCACTCTAGAATTCAGCCCTCAGCTCCCACCCTTATTCCCAGCACCCCACCGCCCCACCCCATCCCTTCCCTACTTACCCTGGCTCTGCTGAGCTGCCCCCAATGAAGCCATAGCGGTCAGCCTGGCGATATGGGCCGGGCCCACTCAGCTCTGAGTCAGACCCCAAAGAGCTGGAGTCATCCTGCAGCTCACCAGGCTGCACCAGGGCCTGGGCCATGGTGCTGCAGACGCCTGATGCCATAAGCTGCAAGATGTGGGGAAAGCCAATGTGAGAGGCGGTTCCTAGCCAGCCTGGGGCCTGGGATCCTATCCAGCCAGGCCCCAGCCCCAGGACCTGACTGCGTGGTCAGAGGGAGCAGATTTCAGGGTATCTCTCCAAGCCCCTTCTGTCCCCTCTTCTCTTGTGGGGTGGGGGTGGAGCATGGGGCCAGAAGTGGCAGAAAGGCCAGGCCCCTGTCCCCTGCAGCCCAGCTTACCTCCTTGCTGCACCTCACCTCCTCCTCTCACTTCCTCCTCAGCCACAGCTTCGGCAACCAGCCTGGGGGCCCCTCCTAAGTGCGTGTGGGGGGGTAGTTACCCCTTCCTGTCCCGGGCTCTTCCGGCCTGCCCCACTGGCCCTGGGCCATGGGCTCCTCCCACCATCCCGGTGGGCTGGGTGGGTGCAGGCTTGGGTTCCTGTGCTGGGTGTGATGCGGCCAGGGCCTGCCAGAGGTAGAGAGGGCAGGCTGCCTCCAGATTTGAGGTCACTGGCATGTAAAACACTCGATTCAGGGTCCAACGAGTATCACGGTGTATTTAGTGTTTGCTCTTTACAAAGTAATACTTTCAACACGCACACAATGTAGCATTACTACGCTACTCAAAAGGCAAGGATGAGATATTACAAAAAGTAATAATTTAGCATGCACCACAGGCAATGTGGACCAAAATGAGCTCGGAGTTCAGCAACAGGTGTCTGGATCTACCTAGCCAGTCGCCCGAGGGCCCCAGACTCAGGAGGCAGAGGTCCTCCGTGAATCTGAGGCTAACTCTTACTATCTTTGAGCCTCAGTTTCCTCTCCTGCACTTCAAGGGCTTAATCTGCACTGTCTGGGGAGACCCGATGAGTTACCAATGAGGTCACACCACCTTCCCGACCAGGACAGAAGTGGGCAGGACTGCTTAGCCCCTGAAAGAGAAAAACAACTTCCACATTACTTCCGACCGCACCTCCTCCGAACAGCCGAGGGTAACTCCTCGAGGGCGGAGCTAGGCTTGACCTCGCCCCATGAAGCCCCGCCCACCGTGCAGGCTCCGCCCCAGACACACGAGTCAGTCCAAGTCCGGTCCCCTGACCGAGGCCCCGCCTCCCGGGCCGCCGCGACCCCTGCGCCCGGCGTCCGGCGGAGGCGCTAGAGTGCAGGGGCAGCGGGCGGGGCGGGGCGGGGCAGGCGGCCTAGGAGGCGGGGCGGCGAGCCGGGGCGGGCGGAAGGAGCGCCAGGCCGGAAGGAGGCAGCGGGAGGGCGGGAGGCAGGAGCGGGCCCGGAGCTGCTGGGGCCGGAGCGGCGGCGCCGACATGTCCGACAGCGAGAAGCTCAACCTGGACTCTATCATCGGGCGCCTGCTGGAAGGTTGGCCGGGGCAGGGGAGGTGGGCGCCGGCCGCGCCCTGGTCCCCTGCCCGGCCCGGAAGTGGCGCGCGGGTGGACTTGCCCCTCCCAGGACCAGCTTAGATTGGGCGGGGACGGGCCGCGAGGTCCCGTGGCCGCAGGTGCCCCCCTTCCCAATCGCGGCGCCCGTGGGAGGCCTGGGGTTGCTCCCCTTGCCAGAGCAGGGCGGGGGGCGCACGGGTTGGCCAGGGCTCTTGGGGTTAGAGAGAAATCCGAGAAGCCTAGCCACCCCCCCCCCCAAGCATGTTCTGAGATTTTGGCAGGCCTCCGCGCACAGCAATCCCCTCTCGAGTGTCTTGAGGGTAGTTGGGGGTCTCGTCCCTTGAGGCGGGGGTCCCAGGAGGCTCAGCAGCAACAGCTGCCCCTGGGCGAGGTGGAGCCCGGGAGGCCCAGGCGCCCCCCAGAAGTGCCTATGGGGCTACCCATGTCACCCACCCTCTTCTTGCCCGAGGGTCCTGATGCCTCATTCCACTCCCAGTGCAGGGCTCGCGGCCTGGAAAGAATGTACAGCTGACAGAGAACGAGATCCGTGGTCTGTGCCTCAAATCCCGGGAGATTTTCCTGAGCCAGCCCATTCTTCTGGAGCTGGAGGCACCCCTCAAGATCTGCGGTGAGCCCCCTGTCCAGGCCCCTTTGCTTCCTGAAAGTGGGTACCCCCCCCCCCCCCAAAGTCCCTGGATCTCTCCTCCCTTGAGTCCAACCCTGGCCCTGGGTTCAAGTTTAGACTGCATCTAGTGCTGACCTGGTTCTCTGGGTCACAGGCGACATCCATGGCCAGTACTACGACCTTCTGCGGCTGTTCGAGTACGGCGGCTTCCCTCCCGAGAGCAACTACCTGTTTCTGGGGGACTACGTGGACAGGGGCAAGCAGTCTTTGGAGACCATCTGCTTGCTGCTGGCCTATAAGATCAAGTACCCCGAGAACTTCTTCCTGCTCCGTGGGAACCACGAGTGTGCCAGCATCAACCGCATCTACGGCTTCTACGATGAGTGTGAGTGGGCTGAGCCTCTGGGGCTGAAGGGTTCTCCCGGCCATTCGGCGCGACCCTCGTGTTGACCTGGTGGCTGGGATAGCAGTGTTTGACAAACACCTGCTAGACTGAGCTCCGTGAAGGCAGGGCCGGGCCAGTTCACGTCTCTCCGCCCTGCCCTCCTGGCGTGGGTCCTGGCGCTCAGGAGGGACGTGGTGAATGGTTGCTTACTGAAGGGCTGCCAGCATTCTAATGCAGGGCCTTGCCTGCCGACACTCCCCTCCAGTGCATCCGTTACTTAAGCACTTAGGATGCCTGTCTGGACTGGACTCTGTTGGCCAGAAGCTGAGAGAGACCAGACCCGGTCTCGGCCTGGCTCTGCTCATGTGCAGGGGGTGGGTGCCAACCCTGAGGTTGCTCCAGAACTGGAACTCGGGGGTTCCTGTGGACTCAGCTGCTTTAGAATTCCTCCTGGGAGGCAGTGGGGTGAGGGTTGGCCCGGGGTGGGGGGCGGTTCCCTTCTTGCCTTCCATTCTCTCCTCCCAGCTGTGTCTGAACAACACACAATGTGCCCTGGAAGGCCCAGAGACCCACACTGAGGGTGGGGCAGACAGGCCTTCTCGTGAGCCCTCTCCTTCCTCTGGGCAGGCAAGAGACGCTACAACATCAAACTATGGAAAACCTTCACTGATTGCTTCAACTGCCTGCCTATTGCTGCCATTGTGGATGAAAAGATCTTCTGCTGTCACGGGGGTGAGGGCGGCTCTGGGCCGCACGGCGAGGGAATGCTTGGCCAGGACGAGCCTGGCCACATCCCTGGGGGATTTGGGACAGAAGTGTTAGCTGAAGGACACATTCTCAGCCACCTGGAACAGCTCTCCCTGGAGTCCTGGTTTGGATATCACTTCTCCCACAAAGTCCCCCCGCACCCCAGCGTTAGGCTGCACTCACTGTCACGTCGTGGCCTCGGCTTCTTGCGTGGAGTTTGCTTGTCTTTTTCCAGGGAGCACTGTGCTCCTTGAAGGGACGGGGACTTGAAGAGGCAGAAGGCCATGAGCTCTGTCTGTCTAGGCTCCCAGGAATCCAGGAGAGGGCGGCGGGTTGGGGGAACAGAGGCTGATTGGCAAATGCTTCCTGGAGAAGGGAGGGCCCTTGTTTTGAGGCTTGAGGAAGTGACCTGCCCCCGGTGCCCCCCAGGCCTGTCCCCGGACCTACAGTCCATGGAGCAGATCCGGCGTATCATGCGGCCTACAGACGTGCCAGACCAGGGCCTGCTGTGTGACCTGCTGTGGTCTGACCCTGACAAGGACGTGCAGGGCTGGGGCGAGAATGACCGTGGCGTCTCCTTTACCTTTGGAGCTGAGGTCGTGGCCAAGTTCCTGCACAAGCACGACCTGGACCTCATCTGCCGGGCACACCAGGTGGGCTGGCAGCTCTGGTCTGGGCGGCGGCGGGGGCCGGGCAGCAGCCCCTGCTGAGCTAACTGCCCCCACCCTCGTCCAGGTGGTAGAAGACGGCTATGAGTTTTTTGCCAAGCGGCAGCTGGTGACACTCTTCTCAGCTCCTAACTACTGTGGCGAGTTTGACAACGCAGGCGCCATGATGAGCGTGGACGAGACGCTCATGTGCTCCTTCCAGGTGGGGGTGGAGATGGGGATGCAGGGGGCGGGGGGGCCCATGGCTCAGCTCCATGAGCCTGACCAGCTTGCCTCTTTTAGATCCTCAAGCCCGCCGACAAGAACAAGGGGAAGTATGGGCAGTTCAGCGGCCTGAACCCCGGAGGCCGGCCCGTCACCCCGCCCCGCAACTCCGCCAAAGCCAAGAAGTAGCCTCCGTGAGCCCACCCTCTGCCCCAGGTGGTGGATTGTACGGAAATCACGTGGCTGTGAGGGTTCGTGCTGGCCCCCGAGGGCCACCCATCACAGGGAACACGGAGCCTTGGTGTATTTTTCTTTTTTTTATGAATCAATAGCAGCGTCCAAACCCCCAGGGCTCCTTCCACCTGCACCTGCAGTGGCTGCAGGCAGGATCCTGGGGCTGAGGCTGCAGCTCAGGGCAGAGCAGGGCCAGATTGTGGGTCCCCAGCCTTGCTTGGCCTCAGGGCTGGCAGCCGGATCCTGGGGCAACCCATCTGGTCTCTCGAATAAAGGTCAAAGCTGGATTCTCGCCACGGCATCTGTCTCCCTTGTCCCAAATGCTGCGCCTGGCGACCCTTCTGCCTAGGGCCATTTGGGAGGCTTGCTGGGCATGGGGCCCGAGCGAGGGAAACACCAGCCACACGCTCAGGTCACAGGGGCCCTTGGAATTTCCAAGCCAGGGCCAGAGAGTTTTGGAAAAGCAAGCAAAACAGTGTGTGCCGGCCACAGGGGATCCCCGAGGTGTACCCAGGATCTGAGGGAGGGACAGGTCCTGGTTGGCAGAGAAGGTGGGTCAGCAGGGGCCAGCAGCCCCACTGAGGCTTTTCTCTTAGGGAGGTGGGCTTAGAGAACGCAAGCCCCCAACCCTGCCACATGGCTGGATTAAGAGGTGAGGGGCCTCCCAGCAGGTGGCAGATCAGCACCAAGACTGGGAACAGACATGATGGACTGGGGGCCGAAGGGAGACGACAGGACCCAGGCCAGTCACAGATAGCGGAGCAGGGCCTGGGGGAGGCGGCAGGACCAGCCGGCTGAGCTCCAGCACAGCCCACCTGTACCACCCACCTGGAGGGGAGCGGGCCCCGCCCCTGGTTGGCGCTGGGAAACGGGGAGGCTGGGGCTTCCTCTGGTCCAGTCCTCCAAGGACCTCTCGGCTCAGCCTTCCCCCTCGCTGTCTTCAGCCAGCACTGGGCTGGGGCCCTGGGGAGAGTGTGCAGGGGCCAGGATGGAGCCAAAGAACAGCGAGCGGAACTGGCGAGAAAACAGAGGAAGCGAGTGAACTCTGGAGGCTGCTCCCTCCGCCTCCCATCCCGGCCTGTGTCTCCAGCCAGCCCCTACCTTCTTGGGTGGGGGAGTCCCAGGCACTGTGCTGGGCTCGGTGTCATCTTCCTCCTCTGAGTGGGAGCCAGGGCTACAGTGGGGCTGGAAGCCAGGTGAAAGGGAGGTGGAGGGCAGTGTCCGTGAGCCCTCACTGCCCACAGTGGTTTCCATGGCGATCATGTAGGAGTCAATGTCATCAAGGGCAAAGTCGTCCAGGTGGGGCGTGCTGTAAGCAGAGACGGCTTAACAAGGGCAGGGAGAGAAGACGGGGAACAGAGGCAGGGCCCCACCTTGGAGGGCTCAGCGGGGGGGGGGGGGGGGAAACATTGAGCCTCTAGATTGCATTCCAGGAAAATTTACTAAGAGATACTCTACAACTAGAAATATTCACGTTAAGTTATTCAACTTTAAAGATAAAGAGTTCTTTAAGCATTAAGGTAAAAAGCAAATTGGCCATAAGAAGGGAAACTATCAGGGTGCCTCAGATAACTGCACTTAACTTTTTATTTTGAAAAATTTCAAACATACATAAAAATCGAAACAGTTGAGCAACAAACACTCATATATCCTTCACTTAAATTCTTCAAATGTTAATATTTTGCCATATTGTGATATATATGTACTTCAGAAATATTATTGTATATTGCAGGGGGGGGGGGGGGGGGGGCTGCAAAAGCCCTGTGACCGTTGGTGACCTCTTGGTTTTATTACTTCCTGATTTGGTGGGAGGGGAGAGGATGCCTGGGGTTAAGTGGCTGCTTCCTGGAGGGGGTGGACCTGGAATCCTTTCATCAGAGTTGAGGTAGAGGCCTGAGGGAGGCATCTTGGGGGCCGGTTTAGCTCAGCTGGGGTAAGGGAGCAGCAAGTCCTGTAAGCTGGGCCACCTGGGGCCCAAGCCCGTACCTTCCCAGGGGACAGGAACCGGAGAGCACTGGGGCCCAGGGACATGCTGGGCAGAGGGCCAGGCCAAACTTCCTCTGCTTAAACTACACTGGGCCCATCCTCCCCAACCCACCTGCCCTTTCAGCCACCGGCTTCCCCAGTCTCAGGCAGCCCCCCGCTTCCCGGCAGCCCTTTCCCTCCTTGGCCTGGGAGGAGGCTCGGAGGGGAGGCCTCAGCCAGAGAAGGAAGCCAGCCCGACCCTGGGGACACTTGCCTGGGTAGGGGGAGTCTCTGAGTACAGCTGCCCCGGTAAGGTTGAGCCTGCAGGGCTGGGGCCCAACAGGAAGTGGGAGGAGGGGAGGCTCAGACACTGGAAGCAGCAGGCTCCCCAGGGTGCACAGAGGTGGGGAGGGAGGAGTGGGTGGGCAGCGCTCTCACCTGTGGGCCTGAAGCTGAGGCGCTGGCCGCTGGAGCTCCGGGGCATGCAGGTCCTGGGGGCGCGGGTCCGGCTCTGAGAGGGTGGCCAGGACAAAGTGGCCGTCTAGCAGAGAGTCTTTGATGGCAAAGATGGCTGGCCTGGGCAGGTGACGGGTCCAGGTAAGGTCAAGGCCCTTTGGCTCCTGGCATCCCAGAGCCCTCCCCTCCCTGTCCTGAGGCTCGGAGTTACCTGCCAGGGCCATCGAAGTAAATGCTGAGAGACAAGTTCGCTGACTCGGCGAAGCTCAGGAGCCCCTGGGAAGGGAGAGGCAGAGCAATGAGGCCCCGCGCGGGGCAGGGAGGAGCAGTGGACCGGGCAGTGAGTGCGTGGCGGGCAACCTCACCCGGAATTCCTTGAGGCAGAAAGTGATGGCCACCCCTTCCTGGGCCTGCAGCTGCTGGAAATCCTCCCCGCCGATGCTCATCTCTGTCACCATGGCTTTGACGGCGCTGTCTGTGGGGACAGCAACAGGAGGAAACCTGGGCCCTGCCCCATCCCAGCCCATCTCTGCCCCCTGCCCCAGGCCACGTCTGGCTCCCTCACCTGCCTCCTCCTGGTAGCTACGCAGGATGATCCTGTGGCCACGGCCAATCCCCAGCGTCACTTCGGCCAGCGCAGGGGGGAAGGGCAGAACAGCCTCCCCCAGGACCCTGTGAGGAGGGCACAGCATCACCCCAAGACTCAGCCCCACCCAGTGGCTTCGCTCTCAGGACCTGAGGCGGGACGGTGACATACACCAATGTCCAAAGGGAACCAGGCCAGGCCTAGCATGCCCCCAGGGAGGACAGGAGCGGGACATGGCCCCTGCCCCGTCCAAGGCTCCCAGGCTGTCGTGGGAGGAGAAGTCCACTTGCAAGAGACGGGGAGGACAAGAGCAGAGCCCACAGAAGACAGCAGGAAGCACAGGCTGTTTGCGCTGAACCAAACCCGGCGGGCAGCACCTGGCCACCCAGGGGCGGGAGACCAACCCCACACTGTCTGCATAAATGCGGCCTTCAGAGAGAGCCCTCAGATCCTTGTCTAGAAAAGACACATGCCGATAAACAGTTACAGGTGAAATAACATCTGGAATTTGCCTCAAAACACTTGGGACAGGAACTGGCGGCTACTTTTATGTGAATTTAAAATTGCCCATAAGAAAAAGAGAAACAGGGGCTTCCCTGGTGGCGCAGTGGTTAAGAATCCGCCTGCCAACGCAGGGGACATGGGTTCGAGCCCTGGTCCGGGAAGATCCCACATGCCGCAGAGCAACTAAACCCGTGCGCCACAGCTACTGAGCCTGCGCTCTAGAGACCGCGAGCCACAACTACTGAAGCCCGTGCACCTACAGCCCGTGCTCCGCAACAAGAGAAGCCACCACAATGAGAAGCCCGCGCACTGCAACGAAGAGTAGCCTCCGCTCACTGCAACTAGAGCAAGCCTGCGCACAGCAGCGAACACCCAACGCAACCAAAAATAAATAAATTTTAAAAAAAGAGAGAAACAATTGCTTTTTTTTAAGGTTTTTTTTTTGGTATTATGTGTAACAGAGACAAAATTATTTAAGTCAATAAATTTTTAAGGAATTTCACATGTTCTGATTCTTTCCACTGTCAATCACCTTAGTTCCTCCAAACTCATAATCTTCAAGATAAAATAGGCTTTTCAGAAATAAGCTGTCATGTGAGTCAACCCCCAGTTCTCTTAGCTGGGCTTCTTTGATCTCCAATGGAATATGGACACACTTCAGAATTCCCCACCTGTAATCTCCGGGATCCAATTTCCTCAAGTGATTTACTTTAGGACCATGTTTAGGGTCAGGAGGTGGATCTGCCTGGTTCTGAATTTGACACCCTCTAAAAATGTACTAGGTTCAAATCACATTCACTCCTAAGCCATCACACCCTAGAACAGTACAGATTGTTGGGATACGCCAATACCTAAGATAAAAAAAGTCTGACTGTTTTTCCAACGGTGTAGGTTTACGGAAAAAGCCCCATCAGGATAGATCTCAACACAAGTGCTCTTTTTAAAAAAGAAAGAGAGGGGCTTCCCTGGTGGCGCAGTGGTTGGGGGTCCGCCTGCCGATACGGGGGACGCGGATTCGTGCCCCGGTCCGGGAGGATCCCACATGCTGCGGAGCGGCTGGGCCCGTGAGCCATGGCCGCTGAGCCTGCGCGTCCGGAGCCTGAGCTCTGTGATGGGAGAGGCCGCAGCAGTGAGGGGCCCGCGTACCGAAAAAAAATAAATAAATAAAAAAATAAAAATAAAAGAGAAAAATCCTCAAGATACAGACCACAGATTGATTTCCCTCTTTCTCTACCCAAAGGGATCCTGGGCAGTGCTGTTTCAACAGAACTCAGAAAAACAGAAAGTCAGGACCCAAAGGGACCTTGAGGTTACAATGTCCTTCGGCTACCAAAAGAAAAGAAACGAGACCTTGGGTTACTTGGATGCAAGTGGCACACAGCGTGTGGGCGAGTGGGAGGGGAGCCACTCCTCTCTGCTCTTGTCTTCACCAGGGACCTTTGCATCTGCTGGAGTCTCCTGGGCCCTGCATGGCCCCTCTGATTCCCCAGAACAGCTCCATCTCTACAGCTGCTTATTCAGGCAGCCCCTCCTGGATCATGACTTCCCCGCCTAGCCTCCTTCCTTGGCCTCCTGCTGGGACCCCTCAAGGCTAGAGCCCAGCCAGGTAGGAAGAGAGGCTGCCCTTGAATGGGGATCATCCCAGAAGGATGACGAGGCCAGAGAAGGGTCATGAGTCCCTGAGCCACAAAAATTAAGGGACCTTCAAAGGTGTTCAGGCCAGAGAAGACTTGAGGGCAGGCCAGAGACCCGTTGTCTGACAGAGGAGTCAGAATGGGTCTGAGTGGTCAGAAAACCAAGTCAGACCTTTGAGGTGGAGAATACAGACTCCAGAAGACAGTGAGGAACATGGAACAAGGGAGCACCCAGCCCCTCCTCACTCCAGCCTCTGCCATTAAAGAGCCAGGCAAGGACCTGAAAGCAAACCGGGTTGGATAAACTCCTTGAGGTCTACAGAAGCCCTGTAGGG